GCTACCAGTCCTACAAAATAAGAGAATCAGCACTCAGCAAATGCAAATAGAAAACCAACCGGGGTCAGGAGCTTTCCCAGCAGACAATCTCCCTGATTGCATATCCTTACCTGGAAGCCATGCCATCAACAACAGAACAATACCTATTCAACACAGAACAATACACAGTTTACATGGGAATAGCAGACAATACCATTGATTGCATACCCTGAAGTTATGCCATTAACAACAGAACAATACCTATTCAACAAAGAACAACACACAGTTCACCTGGGAACCACTCCTCCCTACTCAGGGTCTCACAGTATATATAGACCCATGCTCCTCCAATTCAGTTTTCTCTGAAGATGCTAGCCACAGATGCTGGCGAAACATCAGAAAGAAACTCTTCTAGAACATGGCCACACAGCCCGAAAAACCCACAAAAACTATGGAAGCCGGCCATGAAAGCCTACGACTTCACATCAGACTCTGTATTGTTTGTACAGTCAGTCTTCCATATCCATGGATTCTGCATCCATGGATTAAACCATCTATAGCTTGAAAATATTTCAAATTCATAACAAAAATCCCAAAAGCAAATCTTCACTTTGTCATTTTATATAAGGCACAGAATTTTATTACACCATGTATATAATGGAACTTGAGCATCCATGGATTTTGCTATCCACAGGGAATCCTGGGACCAAGCCCAGCATATCCCAGGGGCCCACTGTATTTATTTTGTATTTTCATTTAGGGCTTTGAGGTTGCTTACAGTAACTGGTGAGCAAGAGATTTATGTTGTTCACAGAGCCACCTATATCCTGTCCACAGGTCCCCCAGAGTGCAGGCCTCTGATATGGTATATAATCTCTTAAAGGTGCCCCCAAGAATCTACTATAGCCTTTCTCCCATAATATCCTCTGCATATCTCCACCTAACTGTCTGGGAAAGCAGCCAAGAGAGTAGCTGATAAGAACAATGTCAGGCTTGAGCACAAAAGCAGTGCAAAGTACAGTACCATTCCGAATGTTCCAAGAAGCCAAAACAGGGATTCGAGAGTCTACAAAGCAAATCAATGAATACAGTCCAAGATCCAGGGTTTCAGCAAGCAGGTCATCCAATCCAGTCCAAAGGCCACGAATTCCAAGTCAGTCCAAAGTCAGTCAGGGAGTCAATAGTCCAAAGCTTCCACTGGCAAATTCAGATAAGCTCTGACAAAGAGCTCGGCTTCTCTCAGCTGTTTATATGGCCCAGCTCCCACTCACAGCTGTTTGGACTTAGCTGCACGTTTCTCATATAACTTGAGAGAATGCCGGAGGCACGCCCTTTCTGTCCTTCTCTGACTAAAGGTAGGTACCTCTGTGTCCTGCTCCTCTATATCTCCCAGGCCTAGAGCCTCTGCTGGGGGGAGGCTTTCTGCTGGGGGAAGGCTAGGCTGCTAAAGCAGGGGCTGTGGTTCAGTGGGACCCACAGAGCTAGGTCCAGGTTCAGCTAAGTCCACTGGAGCTGGTAGAGCCAAACTAGAATCTAGCTCAGCATCCTCATCCTCTGAGTCCTCCATGTCCTCCACCTGGCTGGCCCTGACACTAACCATGGCTAAATGAAGCTATTTTATCAATGGTGACTCCAGTAACAATTAACCTCAGCTTGAATAGATATGCACAGAAAAAGTAAAAAGACCACTCAGCCTGGAAGGGGGCAAATATTCCTACCTCACCTCCTTACAAATGATTGGCTAATACTGCACAGTTTGAAGTTGGGGTATTATGGTTTTTAAAGTATTTATGTATAGATTTTAATATCTATTCATTTTATATGTAGTTTAACTTATCTTGTTGTGTTTTTTGTTGTTGTTGTTGTTCCCCAAATTCATCCACAGGGAAAGGTGGATAAGATGATGGTGATGGTGATGGTGATGATGATGATGATGATTGGAGTGGATATATGACCAAACAACATTAGATCTCCAACATATGACCAAGCAACATTAGAGTGTGGTCTTATGAATGAGGAAGCAGACAAATTAAGAGAGGCTGCCAACAAGCTAGGAGAGGCTGCAGTAATTTGCTTTTGACTCAGCTTACTGGGAAGAGCACGATTCAACCCAGCTGAGTTGATGGAGCACAAACTACTTTTGCACTTTGAACTCAGTTTGCAGCAAGTGAAGTCAACTGAGGACAAAGGGGGAAAGTGGGAGGAGGAGAAAGAAACTGGGATAGTTTAAAAGCAGATGAAAAAGTAGAAGGAGAGAGAAATCAGGACTGTCCCTGTTGAATCAGGACAGTTGGAGGGTATGGGTGTGGAGCTGCTGGAAAGTAGAAAGGAAAGCTCAGGCTTATATATTTCAAACCCAGACCTGATGCCATAAAGGTGCACCACAGCACTGGAAGCACCCTTACTCCCTTCTGGTTTGGCTGC